GTTAAGTACAATTTTAAAAGAACAATTTTTTTTTAAATTTAAAATTCAGTAACGTTCCAGTATTCGGGCGTTACAACAGTATTGTTGTCAGTCAATTAGTTTTGTCACCACCCGTAATCATCCCGCGGGTATTATAAGAACCGACTAAGCGCTTCGCATCAAGCTGACTTGTGCGTACTGCAAATGAGTGGAAGTCTTCAAGGCCCGAGGGAATAGGTTGCTTATGGGATGACGTGCTCCATCGTGGATCGCATCATCGTTTACCACCAGGCGAGATAACGGTCTTAAGTCAGCCCTTCAAATAAAAAAAAATAGGGCAACAGCGCTCTCTGATAATCCTGATCCTTTCCTGTGATCTCGAATCTGCCTGCTACATGTGGAGATTATGGCAAACATTTCCAATGTAGAGGAGGCCTATAGTCGCAGTAGGCTGTAGAAGGCTGTTGATGTATGATGTGATAGTTATTTTGTCTATGGGCGATAACTTAATAACTTTTGGAGCGATTTTTTTCAAGCAGGGAAAATCATCGAATGGCTACCGCCTGTTTGAGGCGGAAGGGAGTGCCAGACTCTTAATGACTAAAAACCACCTCGTTTCTGCTCTTGCGCTTCAAGCTGGAGCCCCGGTTACTTTTTATATTCTCCGCGGGGCTCCGTATCGGCATCAGCCTTATAGGACGCCATCCGAGGTAGTCTGATGGCTTTTTGAGGCGCGCGCAGAACGGGACGCGCTGTCCGCTCGGGTTTGGTTCTGGTAAAGGAATTTAGAGCAGAATTGTAGACTGGGGATAGCAGTAACCTCATTCACTCAATGAAACACATCGCAAGCAACGTTTCACGTCGGTTTTCTGCTCGGCTGTGGTATCATTCCAGTCGAGCCGGTCCATTCGTGACGAAGCATGGCTCTCTTATGTGTGCAACGATATGTCCATATACCGGACACAAATCCAGACTCCACGCTACTTCCAAGTATTCAAAATATCAACAAAATGTATTACAAATCCAAAGTCCATGCTAAATTCAGCAAAATTTTCATACAAAGAGTGAATGATACGATTCTTTGTCCTTTCCTCGTCCAACGGGGCTGGCAGAGAGCCAGGTTTCAGTTTATTTTCATGCCAAATATACATATTGGTAAATACGTATCGTAGTTACTTCGATTATCGCAAGAATTATGGCGATTTGAGTGGTAACATTGACATACTATTGCCGTGTGGTCGACGAAGTAGAATACAATTTGTCACGATCTCTATGCCCCCTGTGGGTGTCGTAGACCCGACTAAGGGACTACACATTTAATAGAGACGGCGCAGTAGTGCTCTCTGTAATTCTTAGCCCGATCCGGGAATGCAACCCGAGATCCCTTGCCCAGCAGTCGCACTTGCGACTACTCGGCCAAGGAGGCAGTCTACCGCGAAAAATACATAATCTATGGCGGAATATCAGAATTTAATTCCATGTGTTTATTTATGAAAACTTTATATCATAAACATGCAATATGTTTCCTGTGTGGTTAACACAACTCATAATCATACTAATATAATATACTAGCGACCCGCCCCGGCTTCGCACGGGTGCAATATGCATGTATATAAACCTTCTTTAAGAATCACTATGTATTAAAAAAAACGCATCAAAATCCGTTGCGTAGTTTTAAAGATCTAAGCATAAATAGGGACAGACAGACGGCGGGTAGGGACTTTGTTTTATACTATGTAGTGATACGAAAGTTCGTATATTTGTGTGTGTTATTCCTAGCCATAAACTACCCCTGTTTCAAATCTCTTCCTGGTTGCTTACTCTTGAAACCAATCTCAATGTCAATGCAATTTCAATCCAATAAAATCTCAATAATTATTCAATGTCAAAACTATACAAACCCTATCGTGGCTGTTAAATAGCCTACAGAGGATATAAGGCCAAATTCAATACCATTTAGTTCATTAAATATCCACGAAATACGGATGTTATGGGCGTTAGTGTTCCAATACTCAAGAGTACGAAATTTCATAATACCAATGTCGATCAAGAGTAAGCCTCCAGGTTTCCTCACGATGTTTTCCTTCAGTATAGTTATGTCTAAATAATCTTTTCTGATATAATTATCACAAGGCAATTAAACACACATTTTCATTAGTTCCAACCATAAAGGTTCAAGGTTGTCTGCTGTGACTTTGAAACGACGTCTTTTTGACGTTCTTAGTATAGAGATAATAAATTAGCGACTATCAGACATAACTTTGTATTAACGACGTCATAATATAATTTATTCTGTATTCTTCTGTATTATTACTTAATATGATAATATGGTAAAAATCCGGATTTGGTTCTTTATTAGTTTGATTGTGATAGTGTTTCTGTTGATGAGAAAAATGTTTCTGTTTTGTTTTCCCTTATATGGTGGACATTCCACCCATTCGAACGAAGCGTTTCGCGTCAAGCTTCCTCATGCGAACCGCTAAGGAATGGAATTCTTTGCCAGAGGCTGTGTTTCCCGCCAAATATGACTTGGGTGTCTTCAAGTCCCGAGTGAACAGGTTGCTCATAGGTAGGCGTGCTCCATCGTCGGCCACATCATCGCTTACCATCAGGCGAGATGGTGGTCAAACGTCGACCTATAAAATATATATAAAAAAAAAAAAAAAAAAAAAAGAATATTAAGGATTTTAAAGAGTTACGATGTTTTAGTATAACATGGGCCGTCCATAAATTACGGCACACGTTGAGGGGTAGGGAGGGATCCTACTTTGTAATGTCACATTGCAAAAACTATTATAAAACACGAAATATGTTTTATATTATTTTGGAGGTTTCTCCTTCTCGGGATTGACCCAGTGAAAATGGGCACCGCGTCCCGCCACCCGCAGGAAAAACGATGCACATAGCCCCCTTCTAAATTTCGTTTCTAAATGTCCTTCTTCCTCTTCTGCGACTGACGCTATCTGTGTGTGGTTCTGAATTTTGTGTGGGTGTAGTTTGTATGCGAGTTGTGGATTGTGAGCTTTGTGTGATGGTTGATTGAGTGGTAAGTGGTGTGTGCGCTTGAGATGGTTGTAATTGATCGGAATCTGGAATGTGACGAAAACTGTGTCTCCTAATACTTTGCTAAGAATAGTTGTTGTGTGAATGGCGGCTTGCTTCTGTAGAATTGTAATGTCTATTGATGTTTCTAGTTTTTCTGTGTATCTGCTGAGGCTTTTGGTTACTACTCCTGTAGCTCCAATTACTATGGGAATAACATGTGTTTCAGTATTCCAAAGGCGTCTAATCTCTGTCTTTAAAAGGTGGTATTTACTCAACTTCTCTATTTCTTTTGCTCCTATGTTGTAGTCACTTGGTATGGTTATGTCAATGAGCTATGTAGAAACACGAAATATAATTGTGACAAGGACGGGGGGAGGGGCAAGAAATCATGAAATTCATGTGACATAATTTATGGATAACCCCTTATGTATGCATTATTTCGTGTGGTAAATTATTGACTGAATTATTTTACAAGTAGGTATTTATTTTGTTGATATAGTCGAGTACAGTAGAGTATATTTTAGAAGGTTTTAGTAGACAATGAATATGGCCATTGCACTTATCAACAAATGGGACTTTTTAAACTAATGAACACTACGACTATTATTTTGGTCCTTCTTACTGGAAGAATAAAGGAGTCATTATCAGTGTATGTTACTCTGCTGTCACCTCCTCACATAACATCACGTCTTTTATCCCCGAAGCGATATGCAGAGGTGCACATTACGGCACTATGCCACACATTATGCCACTGTAGGTACAATGTAACACCCACTTTTCACTATTTGTGTTATAAGTCCCATGTAATAGAGGGTGAGCCTATTGCCATATAGCACAATTCCAGACTCCGTGCTACAACTGGGTTTTTTTTAAAACCCAGTAATACTTTGCCCAACCCGGGGATTGAACCCGAAACCCCTTGCCGGCCAACGAGGAAGTTTATTTTTATGACGGGATGAAACCTTCAAAAGGCGCCTCGCTTCTGCCTCCCTTCTGGCGCCTCGCTTCTGCCTCCTCCTGCCTATTGCCATGTGGCACAATTCTAGACCCCGTGTTACTACTGAGAACTTTAAAAAATCCCAGTAGCTTTTTGCCCGACTCGGGAATTGAACCCAAGACCCCTTGCCCTTGCGACGTGCACATGCGCTAAATCGATAAACAAGGCAGTCATTATGTTTCATGTAAGTATCAGTGGAATACAAAATATTTCATTGTGTAATTATTGTAAAGTTGTTTTATAATAACTATCGTGAAACAAAGTGAATTGAATAAAAAATTATGAGTTACTCACTTAAATATACTGAGAAACTGTAAATATATACCTAGGTCGCGCGACCGCTCACGCTGCTCATGAAGAAGAGTTCCTCTGCGACTCGAAACTAGTAGAGCTTTTCTTTGTATATTTACGTGAGAAATTCGTAATTTTTAGTATATAGCAAAGTTCTTATATAAATACTTTTTTAGGCAGTCCGACAGATATGAAAATTTTAGCTAATTATTTTATTTGTACAGTGAAGACGCAGATGCTTTTTAGTAGGTATAACATCCAAGGTATCAAAGTGGAATTAAAAAGGATATTTCGAAAGTTTAAAATAGAAATAAGAGACGAAACATTCAATGAATACAAATTAAAGGACAAACAAAATACATTCCAGACTTCATAACAATATAGATACCAGATTTTCAACTTTAATATAAAAGATATAAAGTAAAAAATCCACTAAAGAAATGAGACAAGTAAAGATAGTTTTATGCCTGCGCCAGACATGTGCGCACTGTTTGTTCACATAGTGTGGCACAGACAAAATAGCATCAAAAATGTCCTTGCAACACAATATGAGCAAATAAATGAGCGAGTGTCTGGCACCGGCATTATAGTATGTCTGCGTTAAGAATGAAGTAAGCTGCAAGACATAACTTTGCAAGAGCGGGGTTAGAACGCACATTTAAGGACCACATTCGCGTGCATCTCTTACCATACTCTTTATATTGATAGCCGACGTGTCCGAGTGTGAACCGAATAGCGGACGAGTTGTATGCATTTTTAATCTGTTAAAAATAAGAAAATGCTGTAATATATTTCTAAATTAGTCATCATTATCAGTCAGAAAATGTCCACCGCTGTGTGTTGCCACAGCAAATGTGCTTTGCTGAACATAGGTCTCTTCCAATGTCTTGTAGATCAACTGGAATATATTAGTCACGAATGGACCGGCTCCACCGGAGTAATACCACGGCCTAACAGAAGACCGACGTAAAACAACGCTTGCGTTGTGTTTCGTCATGTGAGTGAGGTTACCGGAGGATCAATTACCCCTCCCCCTTTCCCAATCCCTGAATCCCCAACAATCCAGTAACGCACTTGTAACGCCTCTGGTGTTTCAGGTGTCCATAGGCGACGCCGATTGCTTACCATCAGGTGATACGCCTGCTCGTTTACCGGCTTATGCCATAAAAAAGACTTCTGCATATGAACGTAGGCCATCCCCAATGGCTTCCAGATTAGTACTGGTTAGGAGTAACCTGCATACTTCAGCTTAAGGTCAGCAATCAACTTATTGCTACCTAGGCAAGTCAAAATCGTTTATTACAAATTAAACCAGGAAGGCACTTTTAAACATCAAAAAAATTAAAGTGAAGCGATTTGCTTATTCCAAGATGAAGATGAACGAGACTATGGGGAAGAACGAGCAAGAAACTCCATAATTAACTCTATTTCAATCAGGTTCACAATACAATGTATAATGCCCACGGCACTATGGACAAATGTACTCGATTCAACATTGTTGTGTCTCCATCAAATCATCATTAAAATACTCGATGTCATGTCCAAATAGTACCTCAAAAGATTTAGCATAAAGCATCGACATTTCCAAGATATCCACAAAATAAAATTACTATTTTGAGGTTATGTCCGAAGAAAAATTTACTGACAAAAGCTATTTAAAAGGGTCTGAATAGGTTTACGGGTGTTCTTGGTATGTTTAGAGCATATTTGTGTAAAATCTGTAATGTTTTAGCTATTTCAGGTTGGCAGTTACTGGTAGACACCTGTGTCCACCTCACCAAGTCTTACTGATTTAGATTTTGCGCATTTTCACAAACTGTCTGTACTATTTCAAAATTAATTCATTATTCCATTAAGTCAATCAAATACTTAAACTTTCAAACACCGCAAGGACACCGGTGTCCGCACACCTGTTGTTCTTTAATTGTGTCTATAATGACGGTACTCAAAGGGTTAAATAAATAAATAAAAATGAAATAAAAAAGCCTTTATTTCTTGCATTCGGTTTAGAATTCAGTTTAAACTGTCAAACACCGTCAGGACACCGGTGACCGCAACCTATTCTTCTTTAATTGTGTCTATAATGACGGTACTCAACGAGTTAAAATGATATCGGAAAATAAAAGTGAAAAAACAAAAATGTTTGTGTTTGCATCCTTTGTAAAAAAAAAAAAATGTGTTGTGCAAGAACCTCTTCTCATGTGAAGGTGAAGGCGTTATTTATCAATCAAGTACTTATTAACACGAAAATATTTATTATAACGAAATCCTACTAATATAATAAATGCAAAAGTTTATATGTTTGTTTGTTTGGTGTGATATTTTTTGTTAAATTACTAATAAGACAAAACAACACTTTTTCCTACACTTAACTTATGACCACAATGAAAATAAATGCCTAAATATTGTTCTAACATTTTTTCTTGTATTCAACTTTATTTACTCAAACGTAACTTGAATGACCTCAAATGGTACTTAAGACCATTTTTTGTTATTTACGTTAAGTTAAACAAAGTTTTTTTTTTGTAAAGTTTGCGATGACATAACTCGGTTAAATGTGTGAATTATATGACGTAACTTTTATGTTAAGTTTGTCTAAAAAGGGTTGGTAAACATGGGATGCATACATCTAAAATAGCAATTGTATGTTAATTGTAAATAGGAAAACAAAATCATAAATAACATGACAGGTTTATGTGGATTAAACTGCCTTTTTGTAGTGGTCGGAAGTGCTACTCTCGCACGGGTTTTGGGTTCGATTCCCGGGTCTGGCAAAGTATTATTGGATTTTTTATGAATTCTCAGTGCAGTCACATTCCCTCTGCTTTGGCCGACTAAAAACCACTAGCATGATTTATGCACCTAAACATAACTCATAACACACGCTTTTTATCCCTGAAGGGATAGGCTGAGGTGCACATTATGCCACTGTACAATGTAATACCCTGCTTTTTATTACCTATGTTATAAGTCCCATGTAATAGGGGGTTAGCCTATTGCCATATACCAGACGCAATTTCAGACTTCGTGCGTTTTTTTTAAATATCCAGTAATACTTAAATTAATACGAAACTTCATCCTCGTCAACCGCGTTTAAACTACATATCAAATAATATTGCCTTATTTGAAATAAAATCTACTCAAATATAATGAATTTGTTGGTAAACAACATTAATTTGTACAATCAAATACATGGAAATACATTGAATACGAACTAGTATTATAAGGAAAATACATTATTTGCCTTTGTAATGAACTTAATAATTTTACAAAGTGCATATATTGAAATATGATGATGATGACTCATACATGTTAAATATTCACTACGAAATAGCGTTGCTCTTCTTTTTTTATGGGATAACCCGGTAAATGAGCAAACGGATCACCTGATGGTAAGCAATCAGTGTTGGTCATGGACACCTGGAACACCAGAGGCGTTACAAGTGCATTACCGGCCTGTTGGGGATATAAAAACTCCTTGTTTGAGGATTATTGGGGATTCAGGTATGGGGCAGATTGGGAAAGGGGGAGGGGGTAATTGAGCCTCCGGTAACCTCAGTCACACGACGAGATACAACGCTAACGTACCATCCATGGGCATGGTATCACTTCGGTCGAGCTGGCGGCCCATTAGGGCCAAAGCATGGCTCTCCCACGCTTAAAACTTTTTCTTCTCGCTATTATCAATAGTTTACCAAATTGTTACATATAAATGTAGTCTGGTATGCAAGAATCGTAGCAATTGGTGTTCCATAGTATCTGTATACCCCCATGGGAGACAGGCGTAAGGTTATGAACATACACATACATACATTACAACATACATGGTCCACAGAAAGAAATTCCAATAGGAATAGGTGGTACCTTATTACTTTAATCTTATATTAGGTATTTATCTATGAAATTCCCGTTCCGCAGCACTGGCCATTATAAATCAAAATAATTTTTGTTTGGCTAAGGATTCCAATTTCAAATGAATTTTATTTAAAAATCATGTTCGTTTTCCAGAAGTAATCATTCGTTTATTGATTAGTGTTACACTGTTACATTATCATCGCATTTCAATCCTTTTTATCATCATGGATACGTTAAATTGGAGTAATTATGGAATATGAGTACCGTCGTGACAGCAACGTGGCGCAACATCATCTATGTTTACGGAGATAGATTATGGTTTGAAGTAATACATAGGCTGCTTTTTACCCCTGGAAACGCGGGCAAATCCGCTAGCAGAAGCTAATACCAGATATTTAAACAACGTCTTAACTCGTCGAGTACCGGTTTTGTAGACACAATTATAGAACAATAGGTTGCGGTCACCGGTGACCGCTTGGTGTTTGACAGTTTAATCTTAATACAGAAGCAATACCACAACGAATATAGGTAAATAAATAATTATGCAAATAAAACAAGCACACCCTCATTACCCTAACTTATTCAAACACAACATCGCACAGATTATTGAAAACACGTTAATATTCTGTGCAAATATTAATTAATTTTGTACGCCCTTTCAAAGTCACGTCGTGTGGAAAGTGTGTGGTGACATTTATTGAAAATATTTACCTTGTCGTGTGACAGGAATATTTAAATCTGATCTGCTTATGCATATTTAAAGCGAAGTATTCGCTAGGGGACAAATGCCGCTGACAAATACCGGCAAATTCGGCGACATGTTAAGCGAAGCCTGGCATTATGGCGACATAATTTCCACTTAAGACTTGTCGACGAAAGTCCGGTAACGTCGCACTGCTTCACCTAACGTCCCTGGCGACGCGAGTCGCTGTACATTTGTTACCTTTTTTATGGGTAAACGAGCACACGGATCACCTGATGGTAAGCTATCGGCGTCGCCTACGGACACCTGGAACGCCAGAGGCGTTACAAGTGCGTTACCAGCCTTTTCCCCAAGAGGCTTGGCTTGAGGATTGTTGGAGATTCAGGGATTGGCAATCTGGTAACCTAACTCACATAACGAAACACAACGCAAGCTTTGCATCACGTCAGTTTTCTGCTCAGCCGTGGTATCACTCCGGTCGAGCCGGCCTATTCGTGCCGAAGCATGGCTCTCCCACACTTAATCCCCTAGTGTATCCATGGCTTAATCATCTTGCTTTATTTTTCCAAAGAGGTAAGCTGAAAAGTACATAGGAGGAACGGGGCGGTGTTTAGTTAGCTAAAAGTCTTACTCTCCTCTCGCTATTCACCCAAGGCGGGACAAGTCCTCGGACGATTTCCCATAAAAATTTCACATTGAACATTATGAATATGTAATATGTTACAGACAAAGTGACTAATTTGATACATACTAAATAATATCTACAGAATTTGGTCAAAGTGATAAATGAATTTATGAATAATATCTTCGAAGACTTGGATAAAATAATTAAGCAAGCAGGTGTAAATGAGCAGGGCTGTTTTGTATCGCAAATCAGCGCGGCTGCTGAACGGATTCTCAATGTGAGACGTTCTGCAATAAGTGTATTGTCAATTCGAAACGTTCTACATTAATTCGTCATGGTGGTCGTATTCATTGTATTCGAGGGTGGTAAAAACCAAGGTACTGTCAAAATGTAAATCCAAGATGGCGGCTGCACGAAATTTTTAATTTATCGTCATGGGTCTCATTTTTATGGTTTTCTAGGGTGGTAAAACCGATGATGCTGTCAAAATGTATATTGATCAGTTGACAAGAAACTTGAAAACGTAGTTAATAACTAGTACCTATAAGAAAACGAACTGTAAAAAATATAAAATAAAT